AAAAGACGGAGCTACAACAGAAATGAGTTGATATTCAAACTACAGTAGAAGTGCTAATAAGAACCATTCAAACTACAACAAAAATACGTATTCCGATATTTCGTTGTAATTTTAATTATTAAATTCAGGGTTACAATCCTAATTAAGTCGGATGGATGACGAGAGGTTACGGTTTTAAGGCAGAATTAAAATATTATTATTATTATTATTTGTAAAAGAGTGCTGCTACGGGGACCCAAAATATGGGACCAATGGAAGGGACAGATGAGGTGTCCCCTCCCTATTGCATAATGAGTTGGTCATGCCAACTCATTATGCAATAGGGAGGGGACACATCACCTGTCCCCTCCATTGATCCCATATTTTGGTTCCTTAAATCATTTTTCTTTGCAAAAATCATAGCTCCATCTGTAGCGTACTTGGGAAATATAACAAGAGCTGGTCAGTATAGAATTACCAAACGTGTAGTTTTTTCTTGTTCTTTTTTTTTCAGTTCTAAAAAATATTAATTGGAGCCCAACGTATTTCCTTCCCAAAGTATTGTACTGGGGAAACTAGAGGAAGTAAATTTTCCAAGAGGCGCTCAGAGGTCATCGAAAATTAGTGGACTCACATTCTCCGTGACAAGCGTCAATTGCTAGTGAGTCCCTAGAAATAATTAATAACTAGTTTCCTTAGTTTCGGGTCATTTTTGATGTGCAATAATGAGGTACTCGCTTTTGTCACGCGCATCCAAATCTTAGCCATCATCGGACTTTTTTTAAGTTTTACCTTTCTCAATGAAAAAGTATTTTCATGACTTCTTCTCCAAGCCATCATCGTGTAGACTCGTCAACCCCGCTCACTTAAAGTAGGTGTTGAAACTTCAGTCAACTTAACAAATTTTTTTAGAAAATTAGAATGAAGACCCTCATTTATTAGTCATTTTTCTGTCGTTTTCCAAAGGCAGATTAGACCTTTTAATTGTACGGCGATCATTTTTTTGTCCGATAATTATAAGTACGATTGGGATACGGGTTTGGATCTATATATATATATGTGTAGCTTAATATATTCTAATGAGGTAACTTGTCTCCCCAAAATTACAATGACGCTAGGAGGAGTATTTTTTTCAATCATTTTGCTTCTGTCGTTTGGGATAAATATGCGTAGAGACAAGTATACTGGTTCTTGTATGTGTATATATATATATATAGAGAGAGAATATCAGTGCACATGAGTTAATTGAACGATGGATGAGAAGTGGCCACATTGCTACCGATTATCAAATTTGATGTTTGGTACCAAATATATCTATTATTTTCGAGAGTTTTGGAGAACTTGAGAAGAAGTTGACAGAGAATGAAGATAAATTTGAGAGAGAATTGTGAATATCAGTTGTAATTGGAAGGAGAATGGAAGATTTTTATTATCCAACAACCTGAGTATTTTCCTTTACATCTTCCCATTTATACAAGTTCAATTCCCTTCCGTGCACGTGCACCAACAGTACCTTTGCATAACAGAAATAACAGAAAAACAGCAAACAGCAAAGAAACAGCAAACAATGAAAAACAGCAAACAGCCACTACTAGTATTTATTACAAGTTCTGGAACTCTGAAAGTTTTGCATAAAACTCCCTTGTCAGTTCAACCCTTGCGTATCAGTCCAACCACTTCTTCATTCTTCGACTGCACCCTCAGGTTGATTCAATTCCAGCTGTCTTAACCTTTGCTCCTGACAATTCCCCCCACTTAAATTTGACCTTGCCTCAAGGTCAAAAGTGGGAAACCTCTTCACCAAGTCCCACTATGATTCCCAAGTTGAATCTATCAAAGGCTGTTGCCTCCACTTAATAAGAACCTCAGAGACCAAATGATTCCTTTTAATGATTGTCCTTCTATCCAATATAGCTTCAGGTTCATCAATTATTTCTTCCACATAACTAGGCAGGTCACTTTGTAAAATGATATCAGTACCTACCCTCCTCTTTAACTGGGAAACATGAAAAACAGGGTGGATCTTGGCATGAGTAGGGAGTTCTAACTTGTAAGCTACCTCACCTATCTTCTCCAAAATCTGGTATGGGCCATAATACTTGGGAGATAATTTGTGAGGTTTGCATGAAGAGACACTGACTTGCCTATAAGGCTGAAGTTTAAGATAAACCCAATCACCTACTGTAAAGCTTCTGTGACTTCTGTGTCTATCTGCAAATTTCTTCATTTGTACCACTGATTTCTTCAAGCTGTCTTTCAAAAACTGGAGGGCTATATCTCTGGAAAAAAGAACCCCATCCACTGCTTCAACCTTACAGCTGTTAGGGATATAGGTGAGCAAGGAAGGGGGCTGCCTACCATATACAGTTGCAAAAGGAGTGGTATTTGTAGATACTTTCCAGGTGGTGTTATACCAATACTCAGCTAGAGGCAACCATTTACTCCATTCCTTAGGCTTGTGGCAGCAAAAACAACGCAGATAACCCTCTAAAATTTTGTTAATGATCTCTGTTTGGCCATCAGTCTGGGGGTGGTATGCTGAACTGAACTTCAATTGACTGTGTAATTTAAATAGTTCTTTCCAAAAGAGGCTTGTAAACAAAGGATCTCTATCACTCACTATGGACTTAGGCATGCCATGCAGTCTAAACACTCCTTCAAAGAACACCTGAGCAACTGAGGGAGCATTGTAAGGATGTGATAATGGGGAAAAATGAGCATACTTAGACAGTCTGTCAACCACCACAAAAACAACACTTTTATCCCCACTTTTAGGTAGTTGAGTAATGAAATCAATTGAAAGATCCTCCCAGATGTAATCTGGAATGGGTAAGGGTTGTAAGAGACCTGGGGAAGCTATGTTTTCCCCTTTTGTCCTTTGGAAGATATCACAATTTTGAACATAAGTCTGGACATCCTTCTTCATACCTTCCCAATAACAAGCCCTCCTAAGTCTCTGTAGGGTCCTGGTGATTCCAGAGTGCCCTGCTATTGGACTATCATGGTGCTCTTTTAATAAGGAAGACTTAATGTGTTGAGCTTGAGGACTAATCAAAAGTCTCCCCTTGTAGAAGTAGAGCCCTCCTTTCTTGAAATAATTCCCAGCATTCACTTGTCCATGCAGCAACCTGTCATCCAGTTGCCTAAAATAATCATCTATAGAGCACATGTGTTTAATCTCCTCTAACCAATCACTGGTAAGAGTAGTGAGTGCTGAAACCTCAGTTATAGGAGCAGGAATCTCATCTTCATTATCCTGTAGTCTGGATAAGCCGTCTGCAGCCTTATTCAACTTGCCTGGCTTGTATTCCACCCTATAGTCATATCCATGTAATTTTGCAAACCATTTGTTTTGAATACCTGTGTGAATCCTTTGCTCCAATAGGTATTTGAGACTCTGATGATCAGTTCTGATCACAAATTTTCTTCCTAGTAAATACTGCTGCCATTTTTTTGTTGACAGAATGATTGCCATCAACTCCTTCTCATATGTGAAAAGTGTAACATTCCTTCCTTTCAAAGCAGAACTGAAGTAAGCTATGGGCCTTTCTTCTTGCATCAATACAGCCCCAATACCTGATCCTGAAGCATCACATTCAATGACAAATATTAAGTTGAAATTGGGCATAGCTAAGACTGCAGGTTGAGTCAGTGCCACCTTTAATGCTTCAAAAGCCTTTTCAGTGCAATCAGTCCAAATAAAAGCTCCTTTCTTTAGAAGTTGTGTCAAGGGCTGTGCTATTGCTCCAAATCCCCTGATAAACTTCCTATAGTATCCTGCTAAACCCAAAAAACCTCTCAGCCTCTTCAAAGTTGTTGGTCTTGGCCATTCAATGATAGCCTTGATCTTGTTAGTATCAACCCCAACCCCTTCTTGTGATACAACATGGCCTAAATATTCCACTTGATGTTGTCCAAAACCACACTTTGACATTTTTGCTACCAACTGATGCTTTCTCATAATCAGAAACACTTGTTTTAGATGAAATAAATGGTCCTGCCATCTTGCACTATATATCAAAATATCATCAAAGAAGACAAGGATAGATTTCCTGAGTAGGTCTTTGAAGATAGAATTCATAAGAGCCTGAAAAGTAGAAGGAGCATTAGTGAGGCCAAATGGCATTACCAGAAATTCAAAATGTCCACTATGGGTCCTAAATGTAGTTTTTGGAATATCAGCTGCATGCATTCTAATCTGGTGATATCCAGATTTTAAATCCAGCTTAGTAAAGAATTTTGCCCCATGTAATTCATCCAAGAGTTCATCTATGACAGGTATGGAAAATTTATCTTTGATAGTAGCTTGGTTAAGAGATCTGTAATCTATACACATCCTCTACCCCCCATCAGATTTTTTTACCATCACAACTGGAGAAGAGAAAGGACTGTTGCTAGGTCTAATGATTCCTTTGTTAAGCATGTCTTCCACTTGTTTCTCAATTTCATCTTTTAGAAAACGTGCATGCCTGTATGGTCTGATACAGATTGGTTTTGTGCCATCTTCCAGTGGAATTTTATGATCTATGTCCCTTCTAGGAGGAAGATGTGGTAGCTCCTGAAATACATCTTCAAATTCTAGTATCAGTTCTTGCACTTCTGTAGGTAAGTCTCCCTGTGCACCTTCTGTTGTGCACCTTTGTAGACTCACACTGCACAATTGGATGAAGAACCCTTGCTCTTGTTCCCTGATAGTTTTTGCAATTTGCTTACTGTCAACCAACTGCAAATCTTCTGGAAGTACCCCCTGCAAAGTTTTCTTAACCCCCTCAGTCATGAATGTCACCTGTAGCTTATTGAAGTTCAGAGTAATATCCTCTAATGTTCTCATCCAGTCAGCCCCTAGGACCACTTGACTTCCTCCCATAGGCATAACCAATAGGTTAACCTGAATATTCACCCCTTGGCAGTCTAAAGCTACCCCTGGACACACTCCTCCTCCTTTAATTAGTTCACCACTGGCTACTAGAACCTCAAAATTACTTGATTCTGTCACAGTTATACCCAGTTTCTTAACCAGTTTGGTATTGATGAAATTGTGTGTAGATCCTGAATCTATTAAGATGTTAACAACCTGATTTTTGTAATATCCTACCACCCTAATTATATGGGAAGCAGTAATTCCATTCAATGCATGTACTGAAATAGAGGGAGCTCCCCTGACCAGGCTTTCAACCAACTCCATGACTTTAGAATCTCCTTCTTCCTCCTCTCCAAAATCTTCTTCAGTCCTATCCAGTTCACCCTCTATGATTCCTTCTAAGACAAACAATTGTTTTCCTTTGCACTGATGACCCCTATGCCATTTTTCATCACATGTAAAACACAGGTTTTGACTTCTTCTTTTTTGTATATCTTCAGGGGTCAATTTCTTAAACTGGTGGAAGGGTCTGACTGCTTGAGGATCTGAAGATTTAAGAGAAGGATTTTGTGATTTGTTCATTGAAGAACCTTCTGAGTTTGAAAAACTCCAATGACCCTTATATTTCCTTTCATTTTTCTGCTTGTCCTCAAATAATTTTACCAAGGATACAGCTCCTTTTAAAGAAGTTGGTCTAGCTGCTGAAACATCATATCTCGATTCATCTTTCAATCCCCCTATAAACCTTTCAAGAATGTGTCTCCTAGAGGGTTGATCATCTAACAATCCTAATGCTTGCTCAAATTTTCCCAAGTACTCCCTGACTGTAGAAGTCTGTCTCATGATTGAGAAAGCATCATATGGCCTCGTGAGTTCACTAGGACCAAATCTTGTTATAATTTCTTCTTTAAAAACAGTCCATTGATAATAGTCTTTAATATTCCTAGTGAGCCATCTATACCACTGCAAGGCTTCATCCCTTAGGTAGAATGAACAGACCTTGACCCATTCATCTTTTTTAATATCATAATACTCAAAAATTTGTTCAGTTTGCTCTAACCAAGCTATAATATTTTTAGATCCAGAGAAAGAAGGAAAATCCAGCCGTAAAGATTTCGGTTGAACAAGTTTTTGATTGCTAAAGAAAGAGTTTCTTGGAGTTGATACATTACCAAAGCTGTTGACAGGTTGAAATTCCCCACTGAATTCAGGAGTCATTCGACTTAGGGTCTGATATCCATTACTGTGATCACTCCTATGGGAATCACCAGCTCCTCGTGAACCTGAATTCAGATTCCTGTGATCTTCCCTCGGTCCAGAGCCAAGAATTCCTTGGTCAGAATTCTTGAAATTCTTGAACTCTTGGATTAGAAACTCCAGCTTAGAAGAGAGCTCACCCATCTGTGTTGAAAATCTCTGATTGAAAGAATCCTGTTGTCGACTGAAAGAACTGTTCTTGATAACAGCATCCTCTAATCGAGCAAATCTATCATCTGGAGTATGCTCATCCACCTCAACTTCCACCTGATCGTTCAAGAAATCCTCAGCGCCCGCTTCAGTTTCTTGTTGCTCTGATACCAATTGTGAGGATCGAAGTCCTCGATTCATCTTTCTAGCCATTGTTTTCAGCGAAATTCAGCTTGGAGAAGAAGAGACAGAGATATGAGAGATAAAGAGAGAGAATTGGACAAGAAGATTGTATAGAATTGAGGAGAAGAGATTTCTTATTCAACAGAACTTGTATCTCAATTATTACAACATCTATTTATACAATTCTTCTCACTCTAACAGACTGTGCACATGCACATAATTGCAACAGTAATAACAGAAATTAACAGCTTAACTGTGCACGTATAGACAGTTAAGTTCTCTAACAGAAACCCAACAAACAGTCAAACATTTATTATAGCCCTTGAACTTTGAGAGTTTGCTAAGAAATTATTGCTCTTTTCTTACTGTTTTTTCGTTGTATAAGAAATTATAAGCTGAACAATTTTCATCGACTTATCGCACTCGGAGTAGTAAACAATTTAGGCTTTTTAAATCTAAATCCTAAATTTTCAATATTTGGATGTTAATCGTCCAAACGGACCAATGTAAATCCTAAATTTTCAATATTTGGATGTTAATCGTCCAAACCCATACTAAACAAAAAATCGCAACCACGAATGAGGGAATTTGCCTGTGATTTTTGTATATTATCGTATTTAGTCAAAGGAGAGGGAACATGTGCGGACCAATGTTTCCTCCATCAAGACCGGAGTTTTTATGGGGATATAATCATGGTTTTCTTCCACCTCGAGAAATTGGAAGATCTAAATTATAAAAGTTAATGAGAAATAAATGCATTAATGGGTTAAGTAATGCCTTGGACTACCAATGTTTAATGGCCCCCGTCAGCTAAAAATTTTGAGAAGCACTTATGGATAATAAAATTTTAAAAATAAGAAATTCCTTGCTGTAATCTCATGAATAAAATACTCAATAATATTTTGCAATTAGTATTTAGATAGTTCTCAACATAACTATAGTACAAGAGTAACAATTACTCACAGAGGTGTATGTTAAAATTCCTAGTTAACTATAATTACATAATTTTTCTATGAATATTTTCTGTTGCTCATGTGAACATATCTCAAAGGTGGTTTGGCCCCCTGCGTGTTTGGTCAACTCTCTGGATTAGATCAACCCATGATTCTCATCTATAAGATCCATTAGTCCACAATACCGTACGTGTTCAATTTATTCACAATATTGCTAGCGAAATACAAAAATGACAAAGTCCAAGGAAATTATTGGGTACAAAGAAATCTCGCCTCATTTTTTTAATTTAAATATTTTTCCATAATAGTAAGGTGGTAGGAGACAACAAACACACAATCATAAATAAATAGTTTTAAATGCGGATGTTATCCTTCTTTATTTGTTGTTGGTGGAGGTGGTAATATCACAAAGTATGATCAAGATTTGATCTCCAAAAGAAGAAGAAACTGCCCGGAAATAGACTTTATATGCTGACTTGATGAGTAGTTATCTTTCTTCTTTTTTCTCTCTCTTACCATCTTTAAGGAGTCAATAACACATTCCAACGCACACCCTTACTCCCCATATTAAAACACACCCAAAGAGAAACTCCCTTAATTTGATCACTTTCAATATAACAAACTCCTTAATAAATCCCTCTCCCTATATATATAACTTACTCTAACAAGGAATCATAGAGAGTCAAGCAACATAACTCACAAATGGAAGGAGGTCATGATCATATAGAGGAGAGCAAGATTGGCCTCGGCCTTGCGATAGGAAGCCATGAAAACTATCCTATCTCGCATGATCATAAGCTTCACATCCTCTTCCCTCCGAAAAAGGAAGGAGAAGGAGAAGAAAAAGATCGACAAAGAAAGAGATCGCAGAGTATGGATCGAGATGATGATGAGTCTATAGCTAAAGAAAATAGAAGTGGGGGTGGTGGAGGGAATAAGAAGCTTAGGTTATCACCAGAACAGGTTACTCTGCTTGAAGACACTTTTCGAGAGCACAATACCCTTAACGGTGTAAGTCTGTAAATTTACTTTTTATTTTTATTTTTGCATGAATATTGGGATAAATTGTAGTCTCAACTCGGATGAGAATTTTTTCGTAATTTGTTTTCTTTTCCTTAAATTATGAAAAAGTTCCCGGTTATATGGACTATTTGATAGTTTCTATCAAATTGTGCTCATAAAATTAATATTTTATCTATTAATTGCCATTCATTATTCATTTATATGCATTTAGATCAACTTAGAGCATATGGACCACTATTTCTTTCTTTCTTCTTCTTCTTTTTTTTTAAGGAAATTAAGGCCTTAGTTTTCATCGGAGATGAAAACGGCTACACTCACAAGTTTGATCATTCATTATTAACTTTAATTATGCACTTGTTTATTGTTTCCATAAAAACTTAATTATTTACTAATTAATTAACCAATTTGTACTATATTTCTGCAGTTTCAGAAACAAGAACTGGCTGAAAAGTTGAACTTAAGACCTCGACAAATCGAGGTCTGGTTTCAGAACAGGAGAGCAAGGTATGACATGAAACCGATCTTATTAATCCTTTGTTTTTTTTGTTTTTGTATCTTTATTCTCAAATATTTATTGATTTTTTTCCGGTCATTAGGAATAAGTTGAAGCAGATGGAAGTGGACTTCCAACTACTGAAGAAGTGGTGTGAGACTCTGAATGAAGAGAACCGGAGACTGAAAAAGGAGTTGCAGGAACTGAAGCTGCGGGTAAAGCAGCCGGAGGGGTCGGTGCTGCATCTCGACCTACCACCCAAAGTCGATCCCGGAGCTCCGACGTGCAAGAAGTGCACCAGCGGAGATTCCTCTATTGCAAATGAATGAAATAGTTTGGTGTCAGGTAGTTTTTTTTTCTTTTTTTCTTTTTTTGTAAATATTTGGAGTAGGAGGTGGAACTGAAGTGAAACTGGAATAGGATTAGGAAATAGGATCCCCTGCTCAGGGGCATTTTCGTAGAATTTTATTCCCGCAAGTGGTTAATGAGATTGAAAGAGAAATGCTAACAAAACAATCGCACAGTTGAAGGATTTTGGTTACTTTTTGTTTACTGCATTATTTTCTCTCGACAGACATTCTTCTTTAAAGAAGTAACACTGAGAATTCCGAAAAGATCAAGTCGAATAATCATCAAACTAGGAGCCGGGGGCAAAAAAAATCCCCAGAAAATGCACGTGCAAGATTCATGGCTTAAAGGTATATGACAGGGGAACAAAAATTCAGACCATATGTAAATCAATAAACAGTATATACAAGGAGAGAAATCTCAAGTCAGACTAATCATGCGTTACGTTAGAGTTATGTGGGATGAACATGCACCCATTAAGAGCAAAAAAAAAAGGAAAAAAAAAATACATTACCACATTGTAATTATGCTTGTAGCATATATTGAACAATAAACATGAACTCTGCTCGATGTTTGGCTAAGAAACCTTGCAGCTAAGCTTTCATCACAAAACCCAGAATGAATGCTACAACCTGCAAAGAACAATAGAGTATTATAAGTGGATTGTTATAATGATCATTTGAAAACACCAAGTATAATGTGGCGGCCAAGAAATACATAAGCAGATTATTTTACTCTCTTCCAAGTTCCCACGAAGAATGTCCTTCGAAGTAAAACCCAGGGTGAAGATGAAATTTTCTTGGCTATCAGAGTACTGAAATAGTAAGCATCGTCACAACCTTTGATGATTAAAATCGGGATTTTTAATTTGAGTGTCAACAAGATAAAGTAGGAGTTTAAAAGGTTAAAAGGCCACTTTAGTCCCTGTACTGAGGCTTCATACTCAAACCGGTCCCTATACTTAATTTTTTCTCAACTTGGTCCTCGTACCATACCTCAGTTACAAACTAAGTCCGTGTTTGACTTCCCTTTAAGATTGTGTGTTAAATTTTCTTTTAACACGTTACCCTCAATGATGTAGCTTCCTACTCAAAATGGTCCCCATGCTTACTATTCTCTTAACTTGGTCCCTGAAACACACCTCAGCTACGAACTAAGTTAAAATTATGAGTTTGGAGAAAAGGATGGATATATAACTACATGTGCATGGATGGAACTTGCCCACCTTGACAATTATAAAGTACAGATGCAGTATATAGGCTCACGAGTAATAGTATCTAGTAAATCTTTTTAGTAAAATTCTTTTATGTAATAAATATGAACATACATGGCTGATGTATCACTTCATTTTGCAGCCAGTGTGATAAGAGATGCACAGCATAAAATATCTCAGCTTATAATTTGGATATCCTTATAATGTAGTATAACAGCTTGGACGTGTGACCACATCAACATCACACAAAGTAGTAACATATAACACTCCATATATACTCTAACTAAAAGATGCTAATAAATTGAACGACATAAACTAAAAAAGAACTTAGTTTGTAATTCAGGTGTGCTATGATGACCAAGTTGAGAAAAAAGTGAGTACAATGACCAATTTGAGAATGAAGCCATGTCGTTGAGGGTAATGTGGTCATAAATGAAAATTTGGCATTCAATTTTTAACGGATGTCAAAAAGGACTAGTTTGTAAGGGACCAAGTTGAGGAAAAAAACATGAGGACCAATTACAGTGAAGCCCAAGTACAGGGACTAAAATGGCCTTTTGCCAGAGTATGAAACTAGAAGGAACATGCAGGTGTAGGCATGGCAATAAGCAAGCCAATGAAATGATAATCAAGAAAGATTAACCAGTAATTTTATAAATTTCAAAATTTCAGAAGAAACTAAAAAGAAAATTTTTAATTATTGAATTTAAGCTAAACCAGAAAATTGTCAATGCCACGAAACACTATAATAATGTGGAAAGCTACTGTTACCAAAAGAAACAACCCAGACCTACATCATGTAGACCTTACACGAGGTACTTCACAGACAAACTAAAATTTCTTCATTACAATTATGTTCAGACTTCAAGCATAACAAATGGAAAGAGCAATTCATATAATTTGACACTTGAAGATCATCCTAGAAAATCATAAAAACATGTAATTTGTATAGGATGAATGCAGATTGAAATCAGAACATGCAAGATACCAAATTACATATAAGGAAACTTAGCACATACACCTCATAATTCGGGTGTGGTTAGAGCAGAATGCAGAACTTCTTCAAGATACTTCTCTGCAGCTGCATATTGCCTTCTCTTATCCTCAATAGCCAATGCAGCAAGAGCTTTATCCTGAATAAAATAGCAAGGAAAAAAAAACTAGGTTAACATGTGTGAGTACCCAGAAATATGTGACAATTGTTTAGAAGGAAAAAGAGGCATACAGGAGGCAAGTCCTGGTAACTCCTTAAGGTGTCCAAAATTGGCTTTGTTTTCTTCTCTAGGTCTTTCCTATGCTCAGCCATTTCCATCAACACTCCATGATTGATCTCTGGGGTGTAGCCCGCACGATTTAGCAAAGCCTGCTCATTTATAATTTGAAGAATGAGTACTATGAAGCAAAAAATGATAATCTCTGATCAAAATCATTAGGAATATTGACAAAAAGAATAAAGTTTTAATATGGATAACATTCTTCTGTTTCAAAATGCTAGTATCATGATGTGGAAGAAGAGAGACCGGACTAAATTATCAGAATCTAGATCATAAATACATTGCAGTAGTATACTAGTATAGGTCTATATAGATTGAGCTGATGCGGGACTAAATTATAACAATAAAGTTTTAATTGTTTTTTAAAACAAAAACCATTAAAAAAACAACATCAAAAGATCTAATTACGCCCAAAATTATTAAAAATAAAGGGACATTAGAGACCCACCAGTCATTCCAAGGCCCTAACCTAGGATCACAAGTCACCATTTCCCAAAAGAACTTGAACAGAATCATTTTGATAAGAGTTTCGTCTGATTCAGTAGGTTAAATCAGGTAACAGGTTGATAATCCCAGTACTTGATAAATGGGTCCAAGAACTCAGACCAAGCTGTTGCATTCTCTTTTGCACAGTCAAATCATATTTCATCAGAGACCAATGGTTTTGACATCTTTGTCAGAACAGATTTACCTACAAATATGAGCACTTCTAGTTAAAGCTTCTTCACTTTGTACATTGTCAACAGTTCAAAACATCTGACCTTAAGTGAAGTTTGAATTCTGAAACCGACAAACATAGGGAGACCTTGTAATTAACTAGAAAGGCATGTATGAACTTCATCTCCCGATAATTGGTCACTTCCTGTCACTCATATGGCATAAAATATTATTTATTATCGGAATGCTTTTAACACAAGTATCAATTATGAACTTAAAGTATATGGCATATGCTCCTATTCAATATTCAACACCCATGATACCTTGCCACCTATGTGTCCATCTTGATTATTTGCATCAAGAAAAAGAAAGGTAATGCTCATAAACTCCTCGATGACAGAAAGATAAACATCACCGTTGCTCAAACATAGCGCAGACTAACTCTCAAAACATGTCATTCACCAGGTGCGCAACAAATTTTAGATCACGTAAGTCCAAGTGAAAACTGAGCATACCTTATAATTGGAGTGCTGCAGTATGTATTGCCTTTCTTTTGAATCCATTATTGCCATGTTTGTCTGCCACTGGTGCATTTGAGCCTCTCGAGCAGCAACATCACTTTCAAACTTCACAAAGGTTCTGCAAACGTTAGGGAGCTAGCATTACAGCAGGGGGAAAAAAGAAAAGCAAAAGAAATTCATCTTGGATTTCAAAAAATGTTCCTAAACAAAGGGGAAGTCGACCACTATAATTCAAAAAGAAATGCACTCTAATTCAACCTCGTAAAACTGAAGGGGGTTTAAAGATCATTCAATGAAAGCTAATATGTTGAGTATATTGATGTAGTAAATCAATAGTCCCCTTTGAGATGGGCTTAGAATTTTGCCAACATATTTCAAGTTCATTTCGTCCGTATAAGAGTAGGATTCAAGTTAGACGCATATCGGGTAAGTTTGCGACGATAATACTAGATACTGTATGCTGGAATGTCTTGTCAAGCAGAATGTCAACAAGCAAATTAACAATATCTTAGCATGCACAATATGTGAATCAGCAAAGGCATAGCTCAACAACTGCAACCTTTAAAAAAAAAGGCAAAGCAAAACTCTAAAAATTAGATTGAAGCAATCCTTACTTCTTAAGATCGTTAAGTTTTGCAATTGCCTTCCGAGTGTATTCAAGGAGAACCTTGGACTCCTTCTGCACCTTTGCCCTCTTCTCCTCGACATCCGCCTTCCTTAGTGACAGATCCCCCATGGCCACTGCAAAACTGCATGCAAGTCCACTTCAGCGAATAAAATGACAACAACCACAGGAACAGGCTCATTCAAAAACAAATTTTCATTTCACAGTTCAGCATTAGAACATGTAAATCCATTGAAATTTCTTGACATGAATTAGGAAGGGTGGGAAAAAAGGTCATTTATGGTTAAAATAGATACAGAGATTTCATCTTAAAGAAGTTAAAATGCTTACAATTGAGATTCGATAAACAAGCAGCAAAGTTACAGCAATAATTGTTGGTGATATCAATATCTTTTTGAAGTGCGATTTACCAAAATTTCCAACCTAGCTATTCAAGTAAATGTGAAATCATTAAATAAATCCAAAAACCTCGAACAAGATTTTCAAAACCCTAACCCTAGAAACCTGACCTGCTTGTCTCAGTGTCCCTGACCCCAAGCAGATCGGCCACCTTCGCCACGATCTGAGCAGATCCAATCGCATCGGGAGACAACCTCTCCTGCCCCAATCCAACCCCATCCAAGATCTCCCTTATCCTCGCCGCCTGCGCTCGGTACTCGCTCGCCTTTGTCCGCAGATCTCCGGCAACGATCGACGCAGCTCGAGACCTCGACTGGGACAGCGACGCGATGGAGTGGAGGTGAGCGACGGTGCGAGGGGTGAAGTCGAAGTCGGGGACTTGGCGGCCGGCGGATTCGAAGTGGGAGGCGAGGAAGGAGTTGATCTCGGCGATGCGGGGGTGTGTCGAGGGGAGAGAGGAGATCGGACATCGTGTCCATTTTCAGTTGGAGGCCGGCGGTTCGACCTATTTTTTAAAAAAGTGAAGCGGGCTTTAAGTTTGGGCCCGGCCTCGTGGGCTCTTCTATAGCCTATAATAGCAAGTTTGCTGGCAATAATAACTAGTGATTACTAAAATCAATTTTGCTGGCAATAATAACTTGTGGGCTCTTCTATAGCCTATTAGGGTGCGAATGTGAAATCTATAACTGGTGATCACTAAAATCTACAACAACTAGGATATTTTTCCATATGTAGTGAACTATTCGAATTTGTATCCAAAATATCCAAATACATGTTGGCCATAAAGTTGGAGTAGCTGCTCTAATCCTTAGATTAATGAATTTAAGGTTAATTTTGACGATCAATAGATCTAATCTGGTTTTCTCATGTTTGTTCTATTTTCACATTTATATATGCTTATATAACCGCAGTCACAAGTATTATTCGTATATGTGTCCATATCCGATTTTAGTGGATATGTATATCAATATTCCTTACCGAGGCATATCCGAATTTGCATTTGTATCTATAATTGGTAAGCAGATACAGATATATGAATAGCAAGTGGATCCCCATGATTTCACATTGATTTCTCACAACGTCTCTCCTCTTTACCTCTCTCATCTTTCGATGAATGTTTATGGACACCCCTTAGAAAAATCCTTATACCCATGGTGATACAAGAAGCATGGATACGTATTGATTTAAAAATCACTATATTTCTTAACAAAACCTACCGGATAGTTTCACACAAAAATAATAAAGCGCGGGCGATGTTGCTAGGATATCTCAATCTCGGGAGAACAAATATTAACTAGCACCTCATATAGCAATTAAAAAGCATGAAACTCAGTCTAACCTCTGACCTTGTCCCATCCAATAAAAATCCCTTCTCTCTTATCCAAATTGAATGAATAAATAACTTTGGGAGACAATAACATCTATCAAAATTCGACTTAAGACAGAGAAATGAAGGCTTCAGCCAATGCGTGCAATATTTATTTTTTGTTAGTTAATTAAAAGGGTAGATTTTATATGAAAAATAGCTCACGGACCCGAAAATAGGACAGATAGAGGGGGACAAGTGAGGTGCTCCCCTCTGATTGCATAATGAGCTGGTCATGGCCAGCTCAATATGCAATTAAGAAGGGACACCTCACATGTCCCCCTACCTGTCCCGTTTTCCGGTCCCCGTAGAAGCGCCCATTATATATCACCATCTTATCTATAAACAGTTAGTTGGCCGTCTTCGCCTCATAAATAGAGATGGCCCCTTCAGCAGTGTGCCATCATCGTCTGCTCCTCATGATTATTTATCACACCCACGAAGTGGATTGAATTATGCGTCAAAAACTAACCCCCACGAGTGGAGTTGGGTGCACGCATTAATTGAAACCCAAAAATGCCCGCACGCACGTGTATTCATTATTACGGAAAATTTTGGCAAGTGGGGGCAATCCCTGCGCGTGTGTGGGTTATTCAAAAATCTTAATTTCGCTTGTCGTAACAAATCACAATTCAAATATCCTCGACCGATTATAATTCAAGACTGATATGTTTTAATCTAATTTCTTTCTATAGTTAAGTTAAGAAGAAGCATCACTGATCGCCTCTTGAAGATGTACGACTTAATTACGAATATGGTAATTTCAAGGGTATTATGAGTTAATTAATTAGGGGCTGTTTGGTTGCACATTTTTTGAGAAAACTTTTCTCAAAACATCTGACAATGGCAACTTTGTAATTAAAAGTTTTTCAGAGATTTCTGCAAATTGTGTTTGGTTCAACAAAAAATTTACAGAAATATTTTCTATAAAATATAAAAACCTACCAAATTTTACAAAAAACAATTTCCTCTCAAAATGAGAGGAAATCACCAGAAATCTGACACATACCATATTTAATTAAAAACCTACCAAATCTTGTTATTTTCTATAAAGTTATGAGCTATTTTCTTGTTTTGAACCAAACAAACAAAGTACAAAAAACAAGAAAATTGGTACTTTTTTATTTCTCAAAACTTTTCCTATAATTTTTTTAAGAAATACAAGAAAATCATATTTTAGGTGGAAAACATTTCCTATAATTTCTAGAAATTGAACCAAACACCCCCTTAATCACTAGAATGAAATTTCAAGTTCTTCTAGCAGACTGATTGAATGTATAAAAAGGTGAAGTTGTCGCATCGTACGAGCAAAATCCTTCATTTTCCCTTTTTCCGAATTAAAGAAGTCGTCAAATGTCCTTCGTTTAAACATTGCCCTGCTCATTTTATGTTAGTTATTATTTTTTTTTCTATTTGTTTTTTACTACCGACACAACGGCTCAGTTAAATTAAGTCACATGCATGCGCATGTATGCGACTGACCATCATCTTAATTAATTTGCTGCTTCAATCCCATCACGTACATTTTCAGATGGCGAGTGCGAGCTCACGTCAACCGCTCCCTCAGTTCATCGATCACCTCAGAATTCAGATATAGTTGTTTATCATTTAATTCGCAGTTACAATTTATTCGAACGGAATTTAGGAATTATAGTGTCAGTTAGTACTCTTCTGCGTATTTTAAATCATGATATGTTAGAATTAATATAAAACTATAATCCTTGATCATCATCATAACTCCGAAGTTTTGGTCTAATGGTTAGAGGAACTAAATTTAAGATGATATCAGAGCAACTCAGTTTTAAATCCCACCGGTCAAGAATTAAATGCGGATTTTCTAAAAATTAACACCGCTCGTGAGTCCAGGTTTCGACCAATAATTAAAAAGGGCGCTCGACCTGCGGGAACATGTTAGAATTAATATAAAACTATAATAATTGTTTCTCACCATAACTCTGGAGTTTTGGTCTAATGGTTAGAAAAACTAAATTTAAGATGACCATCTATTTATTTTCTCGACAATTGTGATCCGTCCGTCGTGAATGAAAGTGAAAATGAACACGCATGCTTGAGTGGGTGGGGGTAGGGGTGTCCAAAAAGCCCGGAGCCTGGGCCCGGCCCGGTGCGCCGGCCGGTCGTGGCCGCGCGGCCGCGGGGCCCGGCCGTCGCCGTTGACGAGAGCCCTCTGTCCGGGCCCGGCCTGGGCCGGAACAGTGCCGCCAAATTGGGCACTGGGACTTCGAATGGCCGGGCCGAGCCGGGCTGACCCGGCCCGGTCCGGGCTGACCCGGCCCGGTCCGGCGCCGAACGGTCACTTTCGTGACTGTTTTGGCCGGGCAGGGCTGGCCCGGGCCAAATCTGGCCTAACGGCCAGATTTGGTCTTTTGACCGTTTTGCCCCTTAAAACGGTCAAAAAACGGCTATTTTTCGAGGGTTTTTTGGTCATTTACCTAGGGGGCTGCTTCTATAAATAGAGGGGGGGTTTCAATTCATTTTCTCACAACAAAACTCATCTATTTCTCTCTCTACTACTCTCTTATACAATCTTATACTATCTCATACTAATATACTATCCTATAATCTTTTGTATTTTCTAATACTTCCAACAAATGGCTTCTGGGTCTGATTATGAAGAGCAACATGCAACTCCTACCGATCCAGAGATGAGTCCTCCTACAACAACTCCTCATCCTACCGGTGTTAATCCTGAATCTGGTGGCGACGAATCTACGGCACCAAGAGCTCCAAAAAGGCCGAGGTCTGATGTATGGAATTTTTTTGAGAAGATAGACGTCACCAAGGATGAACACGGTAGGATCATCTCTCAGAATGCGAAATGTGCGTTGTGCGGCCAGATATTCAAAGCTCATCATAAGAGCGGCACCAACCATCTCAAACGGCATATTGAAAAACACAACAAAGGCCAAAATCTACAAGGTGATATCCGGCAGTCTATGCTTTCCCAATCATCCTCTTCAGGTACCCTCGGCAGTTGGAATTATGACGCTGCCCGAGCCCGGAAATGCGTAATCAGGTTTATTGTTCTTAAAAACCTTCCTTTTAAATTAGTAGAAGATGATGAATTTGAAGATTTATTTAGAGATGGTTTTTATCCTGCATTTACAAAATTTTCTCGTCAAACCTGTCAACGTGATATTTTAAAATATTATGTTGAGGAACAGGGAAAAATAATTTCTTATTTTAAAAATTTAAACTGCAAATTTTCTTTAACTTCTGATATTTGGTCATCTAGAGTGCAAACTGGTTATTTATGTATAACAGCACACTGGATTGATGAAAGTTGGAAAATGTTTAAAAGAGTTGTTTCTTTTATTGCAATTGAAGAGTCACACACTGGTATTAATGTTGCAAATTTAATTGTTGAAGAACTTATGAAACTAGAAATTGATCAAAGAATATTTACTCTTTCACTAGATAATGCAAGTAATAATAATGTAGCTGTTGATTTTCTGAAAATAACTTTGTCATTGCCATGTCATGGTGAGCTTTTTCATGTTAGATGTATCTGTCATATTTTAAATTTAATTGTTCAAAGTGCATTTTCTGAAATTAAACCCATGATAGAAAAAGTTAGAACAGTTACTAATATGCATAATGCTTCTGAAATGAGAATTAAAAGATGGAAACAATGTTGTAAAAGAAAAAATTATAAGCCTAGACTAATTCCAAAAGATGTTGACCATAGGTGGAATTCCACCTATGCAATGTTATCTGTAGCAATAGAATATAAAGAAATTATAAATGATTTTATAAATTTTTATGCTTCTAGTTCTAGCTCTGGTAGTGCTTATGGAATAACTGAAGATGAATGGACAGTTATATGTAAATTAAATGAGATGTTACAAGTTTT